GACTCAGCGGTTTGTACCCATTGTGCCCATTGCTGGACCCACTGGATATCCATGAAGGATTCCTGTAGTGTTCACTCGTTAGTGTACAGTGAGGACGTGCCCTAAAGGGTCAGCCCAGGATGTATATAAGAACCACCTGTATCGTAGAATAGTTCCCTAACTCGATCTCCTTTGCTTCTCGCCATACTCAGTGTGACCTTGTGTCCTGGTGTATCCAGCCCCAAGCCCACGGTCTCAGTTCACCCATATTCTCTCTGGGCTAGTGCCCCTAGGACAAGCGCTCCTAGTACTCACATTCGTACGCCGACACCCTCAGCTACAGGGTTAGGCTTGGTTTGGGTTTGGTTAGGGTTTGGCTATAGGTGACGCCTTAGGTTTAGTACCAGGCTACCTTAGCATTAGATCGAGTTCTCATACTCGGCCGGGCTATCGTCCCTTTGAGTTGTTTCGGTTTTCATTGAGTGTTTTCGCATCTCTCAGATAAACGGAGGCTGACAGTTTTATCCCCTACGATACATAACTGCCCCATTCCCTCCGTTATCGCGAGTTACTCGTGTTGACACTCTCCCCACACACACACACACCCATCATCACAACATCCACTCACTACGCCTTTCGGGCCTCTAGTGTTTTAATCCATACTATAACGTTCAGCGTAGCATCATCTACGTTGTCCTATACTGTACAGTCCTTGCAATAGGCCGAGAAGGCTGAGCTTGGATTCCCCTATTCCCAATACAGAGGAATAGCTCGAACAACTGCGTTTAGATTTTGAATTGTAATATCGAATCTATAGGACTAGCGCAGCTCAAAAGGTTGTCACTGCTAGTGAAATAGATAGAGAAAAGCAGTACAAGTCTGATCCGACCGTAAGAGTGAAACTCTAGGCCGAATTAGGAGACTGGAAGGATTAGAACTTTATAGTAGTGAAGAAGAAGGATCAGAGTCCGGTTCAGAAGAAACCAGTAGCGATTCGATACCTGTAGAACCACACCGTACCCCTGCGCAATCACAAACAAATACACCATTCCCCGGGACTAGAGCTCCCACCCCACCAACAATGTCAGTGTTCACGACACAAGAGATGTCGTCTATGTTAGACACCATCACCAGGGGTCTCGACGCAGTAAACACGGCGATCACGGCACAGCAGACCAAGATCGACAACATTTTGGATGTCCTGAACAACACGGTCGCTATTCAGAGCGCAAACACGGTTGGAATTCGCGATCTTGGAACACACACGGACGCCTTAAGGGCACAAGTCTCGGCACTGTCGGCAACGATCAGTAGAACCCCGGCGGCAGTAGCAGCAGGTACAAGCACAGGCAAGGGTGTCGTAGCGAAACCTTCGATGTTCAACGGCAGCGGTGACCTCTCATCATCTCGGTTCTTCCTGGCGACTTTCGTAAATTGGGCACAGAACCAGGGAACTGCAATGAACGTAGCAAACCCGGATGGCAGCTGGACACGGAACGATCAGAAGTGGATTGGATCAGCTCTGAACTTCCTCACGGACAAGGCACAGTCATGGGCACTCCCTTATCTGGAGAAGCTTGGTTTAGGACAGTTGGCGTTTAAGGACTGGCCTGAATTCGAGACCGCTTTCCGTAAACGGTTCGAACCGGTTGACGTTAAAACCACGGCTCAACAGGCGCTGGAAGGATTATCCCAAGGCAGAGGCTCAGTGGAACAGTACAAAGCCAAGTTCGATGAACATGCCCCTCGCACTGGTTGGCCTGATACTGTCCTCGCCCGCGAATTCCGTGATGGTCTCTCTGAACGTGTCAAGGACGTAATGATCAATCTGACGTACAACAAGGAGAGCTTGGACGACGTCTACCGTGCGGCACAAACGGCTGGTGAACGTATCCGTGAACGTGATCAGGAGAAATCTGGCAAGAGTAGGCACTCTACCGTTTCCTCGATCCCGGCTCCAGACGCAATGGACATCGACGCTACTCGGGTGACCAAGGTACAGGCCCCGGCTAAAAACACTGGTTCTAACGGCAAAACCTACGACGACTTCAAGCGGGCCATGGTGAACAAGTGCAACAAGTGTGGATCTTCGGAGCACGTCGCTAAGAATGGCAACCATGAGCGCGACGTCTGCTACCACTGCAAGAAGGTTGGTCACAGGAGCACGGCTTGTATGCGCAAGTTCATGGGTTTCCCGGCTACGCAGCAGGTTAGTGCCGATGCGGGTGCGT